TGGAAACCAAATCGGACAATCGGCTAGGCAAACACCGCTGAGACCTCCACACCGCCCTAAATTCGTATAGAAACTACCGAACAAAGGGAGTTATGTGAACCCTCCCTTGTCTCCATTGCCCAAGTCTTTCGTGCAGTTTATTCCCTTTTTCTGTGACCGACCACAGGGCCAAAACGCATGGAACCAATTTCGTCTGTTCCCTCCAGCGCGGTCGGTCTTTTTACTACTTCCACAAATCTCCCGAACCCTGGGTGATTTTTGGATATGTATCTCACCCAGATCAGGGCTACCAGGGGATGTAATATTTAAAGGGGTACCTCTATGTTTAGGGGTACACCCAGAAACCCAGAGAATAATTAGGATTATGAGTCAGGCTAAGGGGAGGGGATGTGTGGGCGGCAACTCACGTATGATTGGATAGTGTACTAATGATTGTAAACCGCCTCCCTTGCATGGGAGAATGCTTTAAAAGAAGGTTGAGTGATTAAAAGTTCAGTTCTGCTCCTGATGCTGTGTGTCGTCCAGTCATTGGGATTGATGTTGGGATATTGTTGGATTGTTTTGCCTGCTGGAATTATTGCCTTATGGATTTCTAATACTTGTTCCTGAGCCTCACTGGGATCTTGAGTGGAGATAACCTGTGGAATATCAGCTCTCCACTACACTCCACCCCCACTCACTGCTCTTACTGTAGGTACTTTTAGACAGGTGTAAGTCCAGCAACTGGACAAGCAATGAGCAACTCAGAGCAAACGTTCCTTGGGCTGGACACATAAACCAACAGGACAGACACAGAAAATTAAAATTAATTACATTGTAATAAACTAGCAGCAGCCGGTGCAGACAGTTGGGTTACACCGGGGCTCTCAAGCAATGTGTCTACAGGGGCCCAGTCACACTATTAAAGGTCACATTTAACAATGGCAGTGCTGGGAGAAAGTGAGAGACGGTCATTTCCTTCCCACACTGAGCTAAGCGAGAAAGACTAAGAAAGCAGAGAGGAGGGGGTTTGTATTGGGAGAACCAGCGCCTAACTCCCAACAGCCTCAGCCAGTACACTTGACCTTAGAGAAGCCACAATCATGAACCCAAAAGGTAGTGTGTCTGTATGTGTGTCATTGTGTGTCTTTGTATCTGTTAAGGTGTTTTTCTGTTTTATCTGTTTGTATGTTTGTCAGTGTGTGTTTCTGTGTATCTGTGTCAGGGTTTGTACCTGCATTCAAGCATAATCACTGTATACAAGCACACCTTGCTATACACAAATTCACGCCACCATTCAAATGTCAACACTACACACAAACACATCCCTACATTCACTCACACGTACTCCATACATGCTTACATTCAAACAAACAAACACTGCTCAGGGCTAAATAGACCGTGCAAGGATGTGCAAATGGTAGACCCCGAGCTGGAAAATCATTGTGGGCGTTGTACGACAGATGAGGATCTACCTTTTTGCCACCCAAAAACATTCTTGATTTTTGGGAATCTTTGTCGATTCACCGCTGCCACCCATTATATGCTGTAGTGAGTACCTACACTATCTTTGCTTTACATCTAAAAAAACATGTTCGTAATATAAATTCAAGTACAGTAAAAAAAAAAAAAAAGTAGGTCGTTTACCCAATGCTTCTGATTCATATATTCACAAAAATATGTAATTATCACATTTACAGATTAAAGCAAAAAGTGCTGATTTGGGAAAATTCTCCAACTTCACTGTAGTCACTTCTTGGCTATTTTTCTTTTCATTTCACTACAGTTAAGTGTTTAATTAAAAAAATAAAAAACAAAAAAAGAACTGGTTGTATTCCAGTTTGTCTTGACATTCATAACATATATAAATATATATATATATATTTTTTTTTTTGAGAATTATTCAAAATATTCCTGAAATACCTTCTTACAACAGATAGTGTTATGATATACCCAGAAGGGACAACAATTCTTCTGATTTAATTACAAATGCATTCTCTGTAAATTCAATTTTTTAAGTGATTATCAATCTACAAATAGTTATTTACACCT